CTTTTATGCCCAGGAACACTGTCTTGGAAAGACCCCAGTGACGGCGTTAGCGTTGCATATTGGGCGACTCAGATAACGCAGACCACCATGTGCCTCCAGTGTTAACAGCGAAGCTAAGTCACGCAGCTACTTCGTGTGTGAGGGGCGTGGTCTCTGCAGACAAACTTTGCTATAGTTCACAGTTGCAACTCAAAAAAACGGCGAACCGAACTGCAGACGTCGGTGTTCGCCTGAGTGTCTGTTGGGCGAACGCCATCATGCGGTTCCGTGTTTTTAATTTAAACAAAAGTTAATTCCGCACGCTTCCGAAAGACGCTTGCACCCAACCACGCAGAGAGCGGCTGCTGAGCGTCTGAAAATGATGGCACCCACATACAACACTACCGACTGGCAGTCCCCTTCCCGAACGATCCGTGTAGCCGCGCCAACGCTCTGGGCAAGACGTATTTCTTTTCAATTCCCAACATACAGGCAACACAGATATCCCAAACGCAACTGAAACATATGGCGGGCATACCCTCTCCAGTATCCACGCAACTTCCATTGTGCTACTGTCGTAAAAACCAAAGGCTCAGCATCCTCGCTTTTACATACTGGCTGCACATCATCACACTTTGATGCCACTTTGCAAAGCAATTCGGCCGCTTTGGACTACTGCTTTCGAGTCTAGTTTAAACACTTGGGCGCACACGACACCCAGAATTGCCACCATATGCTTCTCAATATATCCTCAAATCGCTGTGGCTCCGCCTCGGGTCTGCAGCTTCTTGATTGAAGTACGGCTCCCGGACACCTAAAAGAAAACGTACCTTACTGCTCAATTCTCATGTGCGATAATGCACATGCATGGTACATAACCTTGCCTTGTCAGCCACTGTGCGCATGACGCTGCCTTCATTCCAGCACAACCTTGCAGTTGAATGAACGTTATTGGTGGGGTGTGATCAACCCCATGACTGGCTTTCTGTATGTCTCTCGATCTGTTCTGCGTTGTGATGCAGCATTTCACATATCGTGCACATACTCTCTGCCCGCGCAACGTTCCTCCCACATCCCTGCGGTTAAAAGCGCAAAACAACAACTGATACTACACTGTCAACGAAGCGCTTCGTTGGCGAGTCAAGACCGAAGCCACAAGTCGTCGCTTCTCTCCATTTGAGGCTTCATAATGAGGTGGAGAACACACCAGGCATCATTGCACGCATTGCAGCCAAACGTGTTTCGTCGAAGCATACAAATCGCGTGACAAAACGTGCGCGAAAAGACGCCTGATGGCAACACGTCAGTCGTTCACATCACAGGTCCACGAGTGGCGCGAGCGAAGAACAGCTAGCGTGTGTGGCAGGCCACAGCATGTCCAGAACTGTCGAGGCAACTGATGATTCTAGCGACAGCAGGAAACACGGCATCGACCCAACCGACAACGCCAGTAGAGACGCTTTGTTTTCGACGCGACGCCTACTCCCTGCCAAACGGTGCATGCTCGAAATAACCTACTGAGCTGTTTATGCGCTTCTAATCACGGCGCAGCCTGTAGGGCACAATTATTATAAATACCCGCATAGGGAATTACGCAATCTGCATTTGCTCAGCAGTACGCCAATTTATGGCCAAATTTTTTTGCAGGCTGCGAAAGGACTTTGCCCGCACAAAAATCAGCACCGTCAATCCTCACAACGCTTTTTCCTCGCTGGCCCTCCTTTTGCCAATCCGTATACTTCGCGCAAATCGAGCAGCAGCAGATAGAAAATCCCACGAGCGCACAGCTCGAAATCTTCATGTCCCTTCGATAAAAAACCAACACGCCTGTGCTTTCCACACACGTGACTTCACACAATAAAACAAACTTTCCATAATTAGTAAGGAAACATCACTCGAACCGACACAGCATGCAGCTAACGTGTTGCACTCCTTCAGTCCAGCGGTTCTCAATAAACGGACACAGAAACTGCCAATGTCTGCATCACGATGTGCACACTTGAGGGAAAAGAACAGAGTCTTCGTCATTCACGTAGAGGCTGCACAGCACATGCGAAAAATGAATCTTTGGGATGCCAGCATTGCTACTGCAAAGGTTCAATATCTGCTTAGCTACAA